AGAGCGAAGTTTGGAAATGCGATAAAAGGGTCATGAAGTAATTACGCAATCATTTTTTTTTTCATTTTCCATTCATTTAATATTTAACAAAACTCCCTCCCCCTTTGTAAAATCTTACTTCGAATATTTCAAAAGTCTGTATACAGCTTGTTATTGTTTACTTAAGGGTCCTGTGCACCACCAGCGGTGCAAAGGGCCAACGTGAAAGACTTCCATCCTGGGCGACTGCTCGCTTTTGCCTTGACCTGGGCCCAGGTCAGATTTCTATCGAATTGCTTAATTTCCTTATTGAGGCTCCGCCGCCATGAGCCCCTGGGTCTGCCTCTGCTGCGATGTCCTGCTGGATTCCAATCCAGCTCTTGCTTGCAGATTTCGTTTCCGCCCCGTCGAAGTGTGTGGCCGACCCACCTCCACTTTCGCTCTCGAATTTCTGTTGCTATCGGCTTCTGATGACATCGACGATGGAGCTCGGCATTCGAGATCCAGTTGTGAGGCCACCAGGCACGAATTATATACCGCAGGCATCGGTTGATGAAGACCTGCAGCTTTTGAGTGTTCTCCGCTGATACACACCACACTCGCTGGCGTATAACAACACAGATTTCACGTTCGAGTTGAAAATTCGGATTTTGGTGCGTTGACTTATCTGGTTGGATCTCCATACGTTTCGTAAACTCGCAAAGGCAGCCCTAACCTTCTTGATTCGTGCACCTATGTCGCTCTTGGTCCCGCCGTCCGACGCTATTTGGCTGCCAAGATATTGGAAACTTTCGACCTTCTCCACTGCTTGCCCTGCTACCGTAAAGTTGAAAGGGTTGCCCGTGTTGATATCCAACGATTTGGTCTTGTTGACGTTGATGGTGAGACCCACCGCAGAGAAGCGTTCGGCTAGGTCATTGAGCTTACTCTGCATATCAGAGCGCCGTTGTGCTAGTAGAGCAACATCATCAGCCAAATCGAAGTCGTTGAGATGCTCCATGGTGATAGGCTGCCAAAGCAGCCCACGGTTCGGTACACGGTCAATTGCACCTACCATGATCTCGTCGATTACGATGAGAAACAGTAGCGGTGATAGTATACATTCTTGTCTCACTTAATTGATGTCCTAACGATCATATAACGCGAAGGAGCTTGGGACTAAACCCACGGTCTTCTGCTCAGTAAGCAAAAACGTTTGCCACTAGGCAGACGAGCACCTTTTAAATCACCGAATTGCTGTTATTACCATGTAGTCATATTAACAAATAAAACGATTGACGAATCTTGAATGTGGATGGGCCTGAGATTAGACTCATGATGTTCTGCTCAGTAAGCAAAAACGGTTGCTCTAAGGCCACCGAGCCCCTCATATCACATAATACCGTTGCTCAAATTTGTGTATCCATTCAAACCCGGAACCAACGACAACAACGAGTTTCGCAAAATACACGATACACAAGCGATTTTACCATAAATCTCTTTGATATGTAAGGACCTGGGACCGCGTTTTTCTGCTCAGTAAGCAGACCACTGTAACCGACGATCTTTCAAATCCGAAAACTAAAAACTACGAAAAAGTACTTAGGCCTTCATTAAGTTCCACTTTCACGCGACGTTCAATGACAGGGTCCTATCCAGAATGACATCTGAAAAATCCAAATCTGGCCAACGCCCACCTAAACCTGTTCTAATCCACCTGAAATGACTAACGAATGGAAGACTTTGACTACCCAGCCATGCAATAGTCTCATTCCGTGCCTTATGGCAACTTGATGATTCTATTGCGCTCATCTTTTGGCACCACCCAGGGGAGACTTGGTCCTGTACCCAATGCTTAACTTATCTCCATTCCACTCAGCTACTCGCAATTTCTTGTGATATAGTGGGCGGAATATTATTATATGAGACAATTCAATGCAGACGTCTTTCCAAATTTGGCAGATCGACAGGTAATCGGTGAGTTACCACGATAGTTGTTATTCAACAACTCGACAACGTCCCATCGTCAACGCCTGCTATGAGAATTTCCCATTGCAGACGCCAACGAAATGACGTCATCGAGCTATCGATCAACTACCCTGGTTATCGCCTGGTACCTTATAGCACGATGCTAGGAGGCGAACCGGAAGAATCGATGAGCTACCTCTCCCCCTGTTTACGTAATCAATGAATGACCCATAAACTCCGTGTGTTAAATTTTTTAAAGAGCATGACAGTTCACGTTTCATAATATTTGAATGGAATCTAATATGGGTGTGCGCAACGGTACCAGACCCCCCGTAAACAGCAAACGCTGACGATACCCTGTAGAACTAACGGTTAAGTGATAACGTCACCGGACAACGTCAAGTGAGAAGTCGTCAGCTTGAGTTGTCAGTTATCACTTTCTTTATCATTGTTAAGTTACTACCATGATCAACACAGAACATACAACACCTTAAAAATTAGTAATTGTTAAACGTTGGACTATACATTTGTTAATTATAAATATAATTGTAAGTACACTTTGCTTTAAAATAAACACATACTAATTGAAACATATCATTTACAAGAACTCAACGAATAAGCATAAACTATTGTTACGACAGACGAATAATTGTTTACGAAGTGGATTAAAATTGTAAGTAACCTAAAATGTGCTAAAACATGCGTTGAAACTAAAAAATAATAAATTTACAGCTAAAAGCTAACTCTAAACAAACAAACATACGAGTTTGCCTTTAAGAGGTCCGAACGACTTCATCGTCTCCGTAACAAACTTTTAAAATTTTATTTCTAAAGTTAAATTTGTGTATCGAAAGGTTTCGAAGAACATAACCATGCAAGTACCAGGACCCGTGCCAGTAAGTAATGCTGACTCATCCCAGCCTCACTGCATTATATGTAACCAGCCGGATGATGCTGATCGGAAAATGGTCCAGTGTGACGGATGCGAACGCTGGTACCATTTCATGTGTGCCGGTGTCAACGACAGTATTGAAGATGAGAACCGAAGCTTTATGTGCACGGCATGCGCTCTCCCTAACTCGGCCGGAACCGTAGTGTCGACGTCCGCCAGCGCTCGAGAAGCGAGGTTGCAACTTGAAATGCAATGCTTGGCAGAGGAGAAACGGCTACAGCAAAAAATGCAGGAAGAACGGGAAAAGCAGGACCAAGAAATGCAAGAGATGGCGTTACGATTGGAACGAGAACGGAGGGAAAAAGCGATTGTGGCTATGTTCGCTTTGGAAAAGGAGTACATCAAGAGGAAGTACAATCTCCTCCACGCTCAGCTAGATGATGATGGAGATGCGATAAGTGTTCGCAGCCGCAGAGATTGCCACCAAGGTACGCGCAAGGTAGAGGATTGGATTAATCGGTTCCCGGCAGTGACCCTGAGCGCCAATACTGGGTGTATTCCCACTGGGCTCACGTTACCAACGGAAACTACAGTAAGCTCAGTCCAGATTACCTCGACGGTGGCTACCGCAGTGGCTGGAGCAAGTGTAGCGCAATCAACAATAGTATCCGCAATAAGGGTCAGTGAGATTCCTTCGTTCGTGACGGGCAGTTCTTCAATAGCACCGTTGACATCTTCCGTGTCGACAACACCACCCATACCAACAGTACAACAACCGATGGTCCAGCCGCCATTGTCCGTTCAGCAACCAGTGCCAGCTCCACCAATATCAACAACAGTGATACAGTGGTACCAAGGCAGACCAATAACAACCCCGTTGGTGAGTTCGTCGCAGAACGTGAATCTGCCGTCCACGACGAATGTCAGTAATATGTTCGTGATTTCACCAACAACGACGGCATCTGTTTCGTACCCGTTGCCTTCACTGCCACCGATGGCCTCTTATCCATTGTATACGCAGTATCCTGCTACGCTATCGTCTACCTCGTACCAACCACTATAATCGCAGGTATCGTCATCGTCAGCTTGGCCAATACCATCACATATGCCCATGGTATCATCATCTTCAGTACCGGTGTATGCGCAGTCAGGTGCAGCTCAGTCCGTTTGGCAGCAGCCTTCGTATTTTATACCACCACCATCTTACCATTCAACGCCAAGAAGCATACCGCTTGAGGAGCATCTAGGAGCAAGACGTGTGGTTAATATGACGCAGCCGATCATCTCGGGTATGCAACCATCAGCCTCGATGATTTACCAGGGTATGTACAACGGCCAAAACGTGGCGGTCAATCCTGTAGTGGGTCAGTATACTCCCCCAACGACGGCGGTGAGTAATCGATGTTACGTGCATGACCTGCGAGAAGCAAATCAAAATTTTGTTCAAAATCCTTGGGTCTCCGTTAACCATTATATACCGCCATCGTCTGTGACACAGCAAGCCAATTATTCAAATCCTTTGCCTGTGTCATATTCGGATGGGAATTGGGGACAGAATAGAAATTCTGGGTACATGGGTCACGAATTTAATCAGCCTGCCATGTCTTATTCGCAACAAGTTCCAACGGGTACTCGTATGGCGGTGAACAATTCCAGAGTAACTAACCTCCCTAACACGGATCATCCACCTCCTCAAGATACATTCAGAGGACCAGACGCCCACCAATTAGCTGCACGTCATGTGGTTCCGAAGGATCTTCCATCGTTTGAGGGAAGCCCTGTGGAGTGGCCATTATTCTGGAGTAATTTCGAAACCTCGACGCAAATGTGTGGATACACGGATGCCGAAAATCTTTTGAGACTGCAGCGCTGTCTGAAAGGCGATGCAAGAAAAGCGGTTAGCAGTTTTTTGTTACATCCATCGAACGTTGGCGAGATTGTATCAACCCTTCGTATGTTGTATGGCCGACCAGATGCTATCATTGGTATGCTGCTCAATGAAGTTCGCAGCACTCCTACACCGAAACCGGAAAAGCTAGAGACTCTAGTAAATTTCGGATTGGTAGTTCGCAACCTTTGTGCTCATTTGGTGTCAGCTGGACAAGAGATGCATTTGGCTAATCCTATACTTCTCCAAGAGCTTGTGGAGAAGTTGCCAGCCAATATCAAATTGGGATGGGCAATGCACAAGCAATCTGTATTGGTAGAGGATTTACGCGCCTTTGCTGACTACATGAACACCATCATCAACGCCGCTAGCAGTGTGAGCAGTGGATTTTCGGAATGCACGAAACCAGATCGACAGAAAGGAAAGGCGTTTGTGAATTCGGTTCGCTCCGAGACCAACCCAGAAAGCTCTGAGAAAAACAACAACAACGAAGACAAACTGGGTGAATCTCAAGCACCAACGTTTTCTAACGTACGGCCGTGTGCAGTATGTCAAACCCCTGGACATAAGCCTAAGGAATGTCCCACCTTCAAGGCGAAGAAACTCGATGATCGTTGGAAGGCAGTTCAGGAAGCACATTTATGCAAACGGTGCTTATATCCGCACGGTAAATGGCCGTGCAAGGCTCCAGTATGCGGAACTGACGGTTGCCAAGAACATCATCACAGGTTCCTACATCCGGGAAATCCACTAGATGGAGAAAATTTCAGAAGGTCAGCTACAACAACAAGCAAAGGCGTAGTGACGGTTCATCAACATCAACATCAGAGGATACTGTTCCGCATCATTCCGGTTTCACTTCACGCTAACGGGAAAACAGTTAACACGTTCGCCTTTCTCGATGGGGGATCAGATTCAACGTTGCTGGAGAATTCTATAGCTAAGGAGCTTGGTGTCACGGGACCGGTGTTTCCGCTGTGCATGCAGTGGACCAACGGTGTAAAGCGTACCGAGGAAGATTCCCGACGAGTGCAAGTGGAGATTTCCGGAAGCAACTCTAACAAGCGCTTCTCATTGACTGGGGTACACACAGTATCCAGCTTGGACTTACCTCATCAAACCGTTGACTTCAATGAACTGCAGGCCAAATTTCCTCATTTGAAAGAGCTTCCTGTTACAAGTTACGATGATGCTGTACCAGGGTTACTGATCGGTCTGGATAACACCAAACTGAAGACGCCTCTCAAACTTAGGGAAGGTAAAGCGGATGCACCGGTTGCGGCGAAGACTCGTCTAGGCTGGACGCTGTATGGGAGATCAGGAGATGGGAATGTTACTTTATCCCACCGAGTTATGCACGTCTGCAATCGTCCAACGAATGACGAGCTTCACGAGATGGTGAAAAGCTTCTTCACCTTTGAAGGTGCAGGCGTTGGTGCAAACCAAATTGTCGAGTCAACCAGTGAAAAACGAGCTCGTGAGTTGATGGAAGCCACTACAGTGCGTACAAATTCAGGAAAGTTCCAAACAGGCCTGTTGTGGAAGCAGAACAAGGTGAAATTTCCTGACAGCAGGCCTATGGCGGAAAGAAGGTTGCAGTGCCTGGAAAAGCGGTTATCGAAGGATCCAAATCTGTACGAGAAGGTGCGGGACCAGATGGCTGATTACATAGCCAAAGGCTACGCTCATAGAGCCACAGAACAGGAGCTAAAGAAGACCGATCCAAGCCAGGTTTGGTATCTGCCACTGGGAGTAGTGACGAATCCCAAAAAGCCAGAGAAGGTTCGTGTAGTGTGGGACGCCGCAGCAACGGTGAACGGTGTTTCCCTGAATTCCGTTCTTCTTAAAGGTCCGGATCTGCTTCAGTCGCTTCCAACCGTTTTGTGCCGATTTCGACAAAAGGAGGTAGCCATCAACGCTGACATAAAGGAGATGTTCCACCAGGTGTTCATTAGGCCCGAAGATCGCCAAGCACTGCGGTTTCTCTGGCGAAACCACCCCTTGGAACCGGTGCAAGTCTTCGTGATGGATGTGGCTATATTTGGCTCAACCTGTTCACCATGTTCTGCCCAGTTCGTGAAGAATTTAAACGCTAGTGAGCAGTCGTCGGAGTTTCCCAGGGCTGCAGCCGCAGTAGTGGAAAACCATTATGTCGACGACTATTTGGATAGCGTTGACACAATAGAAGAAGCAGTACAACTGGCAAAGGAGGTAAAAACTGTACATGAACGCGGAGGATTCGAACTTCGACATTGGCTGTCTAGTTCTGCAGAAGTACTCAAGAAGATTGGTGAAGAACCAACCGAATCGACGAAGAACTTTGTGGTGGGGAAAGGTAGCGGCTCAGAACGAGTTTTGGGCATGATCTGGTTACCCCAAGAAGACTTATTTTCCTTTGCGATACACTTTCGAAGCGACCTCGAGAAGTTGTTGAATGGAATATCCTATCCTACCAAAAGGGAACTTCTCAGCCTAGTCATGAGCGTATTCGACCCACTTGGGCTGGTGGCAAACTTCGTGATCCACGGCAAAGTGTTGGTGCAAGATGTGTGGAGATCGGGTATAGGATGGGATGAACAAATTCCAGGGGAAATCTTCCCATTGTGGCAACGGTGGGTTCTAGCACTCCAAGATCTGAGACATGTGCGAATAGAACGCTGCTATTTCCCGGGATATGGTCCAAAAGCCTTCGAGACTCTGGAACTACACGTTTTTGTGGATGCAAGTCTATCTGCCTATGCGGCAGCTGCCTACTTCCGGATCGTAGATCGTGGAACTATCCGCTGCTGTCTGGTAGCGTCCAAAACCAAGGTTGCACCACTCAAACAACTCTCTGTACCGAGACTAGAGCTGCAAGCTGCTGTCATCGGTGCAAGGCTGATGAAAACCATCATTGCCAGTCACACCATTCCAATCAACAGGAAGATATTCTGGAGCGATTCGAACACTGTCCTGGCTTGGCTTCGATCTGATCAACGGAAGTTTCATCAATTTGTAGCCTTCAGGGTCGGTGACATTCTGGAAATTACTGACGTATCCGAATGGAGAAAGGTGCCTACGAGGTGGAACGTGTCGGACGAAGCCACGAAGTGGGGAAACGGCCCGAATGCTACCGTAAATAGTAGGTGGCTCAGAGGCCCGGAATTCCTTTACAAGGATGAGCTAGAGTGGCCAGAACAGGAAATGGAATGTACAACTTCTGAGGAGATACGGGCAGTCAACATCCATCGCACAGCAGTAGCAGGTGAAACAATTGGGTTTGACCGATTCTCGAAATGGGAAAGATTGCTTAGGACTGTAGGGTACGTGCGGCGATTCCGAGACATCTGCTTGAGGAAGAAGAACAAGCTGCCACTTCCGAATCCTGAGATTCTGAGCAGCGAAGAGCTCCGGGAAGCTGAACATACGGTGCTGAGAATGATTCAACGTGAAGTATTCGCTGATGAGTATGCTTCTTTGGAATCCAACAATAAAGTCCCACTAATCCAATGTAAGGCAGTGGCGAAGAGTAGCAGGATCTACAAGTTGTGTCCATTCATCGGAGCTGATGGCGTAATCCGAAAGGATGGGAGGATCGGTGCTGCTTCCTGGCTGGCCTTTGAAGCAAAGTATCCTGCGATTTTACCCAAAACCCATTACGTGACGGCATTGATCATCGACAGCTTTCATCGAAAATTCGGGCATGCAAATAAAGAGACGATCGTAAACGAGATCAGGCAACAGTTCCATGTGTCCGAGCTCAGAGCTGCGGTAGGAAAGGTGGTAAAGGAGTGTTGCAGGTGCAAAATGCGCAAGACGATTCCACAGCCTCCCCGTATGAGCCAACTTCCGGAAGCGCGTCTAACTCCATACGTCAGGCCGTTCACCTTTACTGGTTTGGACTATTTTGGACCAATTACTGTCAGATTTGGGCGTGGTACCGTGAAACGCTGGGTGGCATTATTCACCTGCCTCACAACGCGGGCAGTTCATTTGGAGGTTGCGTTCACTTTGTCTACGGAATCATGCAAGTTAGCCGTGCGAAGATTCATCGCTCGGCGTGGTGCACCTCTGGAGATCTATTCGGATCAGGGAACAAATTTCCTAGGAGCTCGGAAGGAACTGCAACAAGAAATCAAGAAAGTTAATCATGAACTGGCCTCAACGTTCACGAATGCAGCAACGCAGTGGAAGCTGAATCCTCCGTATGCTCCGCATATGGGCGGCATCTGGGAAAGATTGGTGCGTTCCGTGAAGGCTGGTCTGGCCGCCATGGAGATGCCAAGGAATCCGGACGAAGAAACCTTCATCACGGCGTTGGCGGAAGCAGAGTCGATGGTGAACACTCGTCCTCTTACCTACCTTCCGCTGGATTCGAAGGAAAGTGAAGCACTTACCCCGAACCACTTCTTACTTCTAAGCTCCAACGGAGTATGTCAACCAACCGTCGCTCCGTTGGATATTACATCGGCTATACGTTCTAATTGGAACCACGTTCAAGTCATGCTTGACCGCTTTTGGAATCGGTGGATAAAAGAATATATTCCAGTCATCTCACGACAGTCGAAGTGGTTCCAGGAAGTGAAACCGATCCAAGTCGGAGACTTGGTCGTAGTCGTGAACGAGGCAAGGAGGAATAGCTGGGAGCGAGGAGTCGTTGAGAAGGTGTATCCGGGGAAGGATGGACGCATACGAAGCGCAAATGTGAGGACTGCGACGGGTATACTTCAGCGGCCGTTGACCAAGCTGGCGGTACTGGACGTGCTTGAGCAAGTTGATATGGCTGAAGGAACTTCAAGCAATACGGGGTGGAGTGTGTGCGCAACGGTACCAGACCCCCCGTAAACAGCAAACGCTGACGATACCCTGTAGAACTAACGGTTAAATGATAACGTCACCGGACAACGTCAAGTGAGAAGTCGTCAGCTTGAGTTGTCAGTTATCACTTTCTTTATCATTGTTAAGTTACTACCATGATCAACACAGAACATACAACACCTTAAAAATTAGTAATTGTTAAACGTTGGACTATACATTTGTTAATTATAAATATAATTGTAAGTACACTTTGCTTTAAAATAAACACATACTAATTGAAACATATCATTTACAAGAACTCAACGAATAAGCATAAACTATTGTTACGACAGACGAATAATTGTTTACGAAGTGGATTAAAATTGTAAGTAACCTAAAATGTGCTAAAAACATGCGTTGAAACTAAAAAATAATAAATTTACAGCTAAAAGCTAACTCTAAACAAACAAACATACGAGTTTGCCTTTAAGAGGTCCGAACGACTTCATCGTCTCCGTAACAATGGGAATGTTCACAATTATGAACATTTAGGTTCCTTCTTAACATTTTGGGGAGAGGGGGAGGATAATTTCATATTTTTTATTTATTAAACTAATAATCTCTCAAAAACATTTCATATTTTGTGGATTACCCCTTACAGTAAATGAAAATGATATATAAGTGCCAACATTTCAAAGGGGCGTAATTGCATTTGTAAACAGTGGCTTTAGTCGTCATTTCCTCGCGAATAAAATCTCACTCATGAAAATTAATAACACTAGCAGGTAGATGAATGTTTCCTCTACCAGCTAGCATTGTTGATTTAGAAGGGTGAGCTTTTATTTGCGAGAAATCGACAGCTAAAGTCATTGTTTACAAAAGCAATCACGCCCCTTTGAAATGTTGGCACTGAGTTTAAACTCACCCCAGTGAGGCAATCTCTGCGGTGCTTTTCACTGACAATTCAAGCGCTCCGTCTCTCGAAGCTGGTGCTAGTGCCAACGCACGAGAGAGCGTTTGTATCGCACTCGAGTGAGGTGAGCTGTACACGCGAGTGCAATCTTATTTTCATCTCCACACTTTGCTTACACTGCGGAGAATAGCAACTCTGATTCTTAATATTTTTTTTTTTTTTTCTCTGTTCGGGACCTAACCCTACTGCGACCAGTAAATTGATCTATTGTAGTATATCCCGTGTCCTTAGTTTAGTGCATGTCGTATTACTCCATCACTATTGAGAAATGATGAAGTATTCGTTTTTTTTACAGTTGTCACTCTTGCATTTATCGCAAGGATCCGACTCTAATTGAAAGGTCCCGCTATTTATACCCTTCGGAGTGTTGAAACACCCTCCAAAGGCGCGCCCCTTTGTCAATCAAAATTGGATTCCTTAGCAACAAAATTAAGGTATGACACCGATAATGACCATGCATCAGAACCCTAGTCTTAACCACTTCAAACTAGGGAACAACGAATAGAAGATTAAGAATCACATAGATGAAGACAACTAACACATTTTTTCCTTCTTTCAAGATCATCCTCGGTAGACAAAGCCGAGTCTTGTCACTATCAACAAGGCATAAAAAGTAACAAGGACTAAGATGTGTTCCTTGGATTACTGAAAAATCCTGTTCCCCTAGTCAGGAACTAGGGAACAACGAATAGAAGATTAGGAATCACATAGATGAAGACAACTAACTCATTTTTTTCCTTGTTTAAAGATCATCCTCGGTAGACAAAGCCGAGTCTTGTCACTATCAACAAGGCATAAAAAGTAACAAGGACTAAGATGTGTTCCTTGGATTACTGAAAAATCCTATTCCTCTAGTTTGAAGTAGTCAGGACTAGGAATCGGTGGTAGATCTTACATCCCGTAACGTACCACGAAAAGGTGATCTACCCACATTACTGGGCATTCTTAATATACAATTTAGTGAACTTTTTCCATTCAAAAATATCAAACATAATAAGTAATGCTACAATTTCTTATGTCAGAATTAATTTAAAGGCTTTAGGGGGCCGACCCCGGCGTAATGGTTAACATCCATGCCTCTCACGTCAAAGTCACGAGTTCAAATCTCACCCCCGGACAAGTCACGAATAACCCAAGAGTGTTAAAGTGACTATAATAAAAAAAAATAAAGACTTTTGGCTCCGTAAAGTTTTTTTTATCAGTAGAGTCTACCAAATAGACCCAATGGAAAAAAATCTAAAAAAAATTTTATTGAAAAGTTCAGATATCTGCATGTCTTTGAGAAAATCTAATTTTTACATACATGATGTTCTAGTTAACTTCCATTTTTTGGAGCATTTTACCCATTAATTGTAACCTATAACTCCAAGTATGCCGGCGCCGTTGGTGTAGTGGTAAGCGTGACTGCTTTCTCACCCCAATGCGTGTGGGTTCAATCCCAGCCGAGGTCGGTGGGATTTTTCTGAGGCATAAACATTTCTAGTCACGTTTTCCTTCGGAAGGGAAGTAAAGCCGTTGGTCCCGGCCCATATGTGTGTTTGAATGGGTGCGATATCGTACGCAGGTGTGGAAGCTGCCTTCCTGCACATTCGATTGCCGTCAATGGATGGCAATCGATGTCCGTCGGTGATTGGCACTAGATTGCGGAACAGAGTCCGACGTTAAATAAAGGAAAGAAGAACCTCAAGTAAGCCAAGAGCATTAGTCTTCCTTCCCCACCTGTAACTTACTCTAGCTATAAGAAACTTTGGAATACGCATAATGAGTTACGGCTCCGGAAAGCTACAGTCATTGAGCTTTGATAAATAAATTTATTATAAAAAAAACGTTCAGGACTGTATCGCTCTTCGTTACGCAGCCTTTCCAATGGTGCTGGAATCATTAATTGGGGTCTACATATTCTAAAGCCAAATATTCTATGCTCGAAATTTGTAAAATCAACAATTGATTTAATACAAGCTTAAAACCTTCATAAATAAATAATACACAAGCCTGCGGCAATACTAGTTAAGTTTTAATTCTTTAAGCTCCAGTAAGTTTCGAAATCTTGCTCCAGCAAATTTGAGCTCCTCTCGACAATTTCGATCAACACTTCTCCCTGGCAACACTCCCCCAGACGTCCCAAATGGAAGAAAGGACCCATCTTCGCACGCATCCACCTACGTTAGGAAGGAAATGATTTATGAGTGAAAAATTATAATTTTCCACTTACCACTTTCCCCGGAAAAGTTTCCGGTTGGCACCGTCTGCTAGGTTGACTGAAAACAAACACCGCTGGAGCCTGAGTTGACCAATAATGAGTTCGAGGGACCCCCCGGAAGATTTGTTCCGAAAAGACAAAAACTTACAACAAACAACAGCCAGTGACAGCAATTAATTCCCGCCCTTCTATTGTCAGAATGGGCGTGATTCGCCTCCGGTTCCGCTGTCATTCCGTCGCTAATCCTTCCATCCTTCCATGTGGCTTCTGGCGGCAGCATGTGACGGGAAAATTTGCTGAGATCAGATTTTAAAGTGTTGTGTTGCCCGGTCCCGGCTTGCCTCCTTGACAGCTGTGTCTCTCGAAATTTTTCGACAACCGACATCGATAAATTATAACTTGGAGTTTGTCTCCACCCCCCCCCCCCTTTCCCGCTTCCTCAACACTCGATTCAATCGGTTTTCGAGGGGGAGGAACGACGATGAAGCTGCGAGGAGCAATAAATAACAGTATGAAATATTGGCACCCCGAAAGGCACTCGTTCCTCTGCCGGAATTGGTGGATGCATGAGGTTAGGTAGAGGGGGACGGGAGGGGCGGCTTGGTTTCATCCTAAAGGGGTTCGTCTCCCCAGGACGACAATTGAGAGCTCTTTTTTAGTTACAGATTGGAAGACGATAAATCACCAAGCCATGGCACGGCGCGCACAATCGGTAACAGTGAATGTCAACCGGAAATTGGTGGCGGGATGGAGGGGGGTTGGTGCTGAGATATTTTAGCGAAAAGAGAAGAGCTATTGAACGAAAAACGATGAGTGGAGCGATGATTGGATGCTCAAATAACGGAACACCACTTATGGCGATGACAAAAAGCAAATGGAGGTTAGCTGTTTCGCTTTGATAGTATGTTTTGACGGTCGGTTTCCGTTCTCTAATTCAGGGACAATGGCAGAGCTGGCCTTGAAAGGCAATTTCATAAATTAAGGTGCATATTGCGTTCCAGCTGGATCTTTATCAAGGTTTCAAAAAGCATTCAAAAAGATCTAACCATGGTCTACGTAGTTCTGTTACTGGGATAGCCTCCTTAGCTTAGCTAGGCTAACGTAGGTTGGAGCCTCATACCAGAGAAAATTCATCTTCCAAAAATACAACGCTGCAAAAATAGTTCAGTTTAATTTAGCTCTCATTCTGAGAACCCACGAACCTGCACCTTTTCATCATCATAATCATCGTAGTCGTCGTCCTCGTCACAACAACAGTTGTTCGTTCGCCGCCATAAACCTAGCGTGGCGAAGTGAGCTAGTGACTCGCACAACAAATTCTACCCGAAGCAAATGATGAATATTTTATAGAAACCACCACCGTTTCGCTCGCTCGTACGAAATTTAATTCCGAGCGACTTTCCAATCAAATATTCATTCTAGTTAGCTGATGGCGAAAGCGAAAAATTCTCGGTCAAAGATGGAAGGGCCGGTGACTGTCGTAGAACGGGGTCCTAATCCGATGGTGGGTAGGCTAGACTATGCCTCGTGCCTTTTCGATTTGTCGAACCGAAAGGGGTTCACCGATGACTAGGGGGGAGAGGGCGGAAAGCGGATTATAATTAAAAGAACATCCATTTCACTAATTCATTAGGCGTTCTTTGCATCTCCATTTAGGATAGATTTATTTTTTGATGAGCTTTGTGGAGTATCCAAACAGTGAATGAAGTCATTGGGACGTTGAACTGCTAGGCCTAATACGATTTGGAATGACCTGCCGTATGCGTGATAATGTTTGCACCATTGAGCAACGCCAAAATTAAAAAAAAAATCTCAAAAATTTCGTTATCGAGTCTTTTTATTTATTCAAAGGAGGAATGTTTCTCAGAGTCTTAA